TAGAGCTCCTGCTGCTTCTGCTTATTCACCTCCTGAAGTCTTAATTCTCTGTTTATAACACCACAGTTGGCTACTGTGGAGATAATTTTGACATAATCACACTAGAATTATGACTTGAGGACAGAGAACACAGAGACATGGATGAAATCTTACAATGGTTCCTAAATCACAACGAAAAACCAAAAACAGGATAATTTTCAACCAACTTATCTGTTCTAGCTTTACTACATTTAAAAATAAAATTCACAGACTCATTTTCCCCCCTAGTGGGCTCTTAAAACTCATTTCTAAGGTTATTATTGCAATCATTAACTTTTTCACAGCCAGAATTCTGACAAGGGAGGCAAACTCAGTCACTTCAAAAATGTCATCACTAAAAATTGGTTGAGTCAAACTGGATAAAATGTGCCAGGTAAACCAGGACTTCAGCGCCAGTCAGAAATGAATTTCACACCTAAATCTCATCCCCACTCTTTCCAAGGTAGATAATTCACTGCTGGCTGAATCAACATCAGAAGAAATCCATTCATATAAGTCTAAGTGTTACTGTAAGCCCCTGTTGAACGTCAAAGTAAAATTCAAAGCAGCCCACACTACAATTAAATGGAAGAAACAGACCCCACAGTGCCTCTGTCGGGTGTTGGCAAACACAGATGGGCTGGTACAGAGCCAGAGCCATAAGGAACAAGGAATTGTGAAATCATAGTTGCGCCTACTTTTTGAGTTTCTGTGATGTGTAGTCGCTTGGTTTATTTCCATTTTTCCCCACTGGCTTCTATCTCTCAGAAACACCAAAATCATAGTTCAGACCAATATGATGTCAAAGAGTATAAAGGGGGCACCTGGGTGGCTCAGGTTGCGATACCAGGGTCCTAGGATCGAGTCCCGTATTGGGTTCCCTGCAGGGAGCCTGCTTCTCCCTCTGCCTATGTCTCTGCCTTTCTCTGGGTCCCTCATAAATAAATAAATAAAATCTCTTAAAAAAAATAGTAAAAGGAAAGTATGGTGCAAGTGGTTGGGGATATATCTAGTATAGCTACATAAATAAAAAGTTAAATTATTTTGTAAAGAGAAATTGAAAAGACTGTGGTAGACACAGCCTAATGTGCCACCCCACAGGTCACACTTTTAATTAATCCCCTCCCTAAGAGAGTGGGTTGGAACAACACTTTGCTTCTAATCTACAGAATATGGCAAAGGTCATGGAACATCACTACGGTGTTCATGTTACAAGAAATCTACAAGACTCCACCTTTACCAAACTGGAGGGAAACACTGTCCTGCTGGCCCTGAAGAAGCAAGCAATGGTATGAACTGCCTGTAGAAAGGAGCATGTGCCAGGGAATCATGGGTTCTAGGAAGGGAGAGCCTTAATTCTACAATTACAAGAGACTGAATTCTTCTTTTTTTTAAAAGATTTTATTTATTTATTTGAAAGAGAGAGTGAGCAGAGGGACAGAAAGGGAGATTTCTCAGACAGATTCCGTGCTAAGCACAGAGTCCAATGCGGGGCTCCACCTCATCACCCTGAGCAAAAATCAAGAGGTGGATGCTAAACCAACTGAGCCACCCAAGTGCCTTCTGAATTCTTTCAATAACCACATGAGATTAGAAGACCATGAACTCCAGAAAGGAAGGCAGCCAACCACCTTGATTATAGCTTTGTGAGACAATGAGAAGATTCGGATAAGCTGTGCTCAGACTTCTGACCCACAGGAAACTGTAAGATAATAAATATGTATTGTTTTGAGCCACTAAATTTATGGCAATTTGTTATGTAGTAATAGAAAACTAATATGGTGACCAAAATAATATTCACATTGGAAAACATCTGCATGACCACTTAAATCAAGGACTGGTGCCATCTACAGACCAGAAATCTACAGGATTTTATTCTCCAGATACAGTCCATGCAGTTCTGGATTTAAAAAAAAAAAATGATGAAACCTATCCTCTTCCTGAGAATAAGGTCTGGAAGTTAGGAAGAGGAATTAGTAGACCTAGAGCTGATACCTCTATACCAGTGAAGACCCATTTGTATCCAAAGAAAACATCACTGAAAGTGGCTTAACAATAAAGGAAATTTAATGACTTGGAAAAATGTAAATATAGAGAAATGTCTGTCTAGAATCTAATGAGGACAGATTCAGCTACTCAATGACGTCACTAAAGCCCAGTTTCATTTTATTTTGTTTTTCTAAGAGTCACTCTCTCTGCCTTGGCGTCAAATATGTCCTAAGACTAGCTCTTGCACCCCCATGGTCTCAAGACAGCTGTCAACAGGTCCCAGGGCTGCATGCCTCCTCTTTCAAATCCATCAGGAAAGGGAGTCTTTGTCCCAGTATCTCAGCAAAATTTCTGAGAGTCACATTGTTTGGACAGGCTTAGCTCACATACCCATCTCCTAAACAATCTTTGAGCTGGTTGTGGAGTAGAGGGGGTTAGTGTTAGCTGAATCGTGTGTTCCACTTCTCAAGTTGGTCATGGAATAAACATGATAGAAACACACAAAATCTAAATGCAAATCACAACTCTTTGGAAAGGATCATAGAACATGGATCCAGAGAGGCTAGTAAAAAATGTCTACTACAATCCCAACTCAAAATGGTGAAGTTGACATTGTCCTGAGACTCAAAAAAGAGGAGGGCATTGGGAACTCATTGGGAAGCCCAGTACTTAGGACTCTCTCATCTCAGCCCTTAAGTAGCATAGGGGCTGCATGTGGGGAGGCCTCAGACTTTGTTCCTGCTAAAAGTCTCAGCAAGCAGAGTATTGGGCATAGAAGGAGCTATTGTCTTTGATTCCCACAATGGCGTGAAGCCTAAATGTTGGTTGTGAGTGCAGCTGTGGCTCTAGATCCTTCTCCATGCCGTTTAGTCTTCAAAATCAGTGAGCAAGCAATCTGATGATTTAACTATATGTCATTTCTTTCTTTTTTTGGTGTTTGTCTTTTCTTCATTCAAAACAAATTCTATTTGAGATATTTTGGCATAAACCCACCAATTATCAGAACCTAGTTCAACTCTTCCATGGCCATAAATCAATGGCAAGCAAGAAAATATATACCTCATAGGAACAGCAAATAGAATACATATAGAACCCAGTAAAATTGTCTACAGGTTTTAAGAATGAAGTAAAAATTTCTAAGATCAGTAGAGCTACCTTTCTCTAAAATAGAGTTATTTCAAGAAATAGAAAAATTAGAAATTATCTGACTTGTGATTCTTTGACTTTAATTTTTAGACCACAAGTGTACAATTGAGTTCATCACATGCCTCTGTTCAGGAAACTTTGAATAATTTGTATTTCAATGTGATTCAAGAAACCTAGAGTCCACCACCATGAAAATGGAAATGTTTAGGAAAAAAGAAAAAAAGAATTTCACTGGAAATAGTCCTATGTATCTTAAAAGTGAAATTAACACCAAAGCCATTATAGAGGTACTTAAAAGTAATTTAGACTGCAAAAAATAGAATAAGAAAAATAGTAAATGATGTCAAGAAATTCTCCCTAAATACAAGGGATAAGTTAAAAGCAATGAAAATAATGTACAGAGAAGATGAAATATCACAGCCAATAGATAATAGGTCTCCCTTGAAAAAAGAAAATTAAAAAAGAGAAATAATTGTTAAATAATATAGAAATATTTCTTAGCTGGGAAAAGTATTTTGACTAATTGAGAGTACATACCAGATCCTAGGCAGAACTGAACCTACTTTGATATATGCTGTTTAAGCATTTCTAGCTTCAAATATAAAGAATCAATCTTTTTTAAAATGAAAATACATAGAAATTAATCTATCAGTTGAAAAGATCACAAATAAATTTAAGAACAAAAAAGTATAAAATATCCTCCAAAGAGCCAATATTCCATTGGTCTCCTGTTTCAAATACTAATGACTGAAAATCATGTAAAAATGTCTATAGACCCTTTAGAGGAAAATATGTGCTGCAAGGATTCCATATCCAGGATTCATATGTGATGGCAAAATAAAGACAATCTCAGGTAGGAAACAGCTTGGAATGTGTACCGCCTAGCAAACTTCCTTAAATGAATAATTCAGAGAGATTGAGACATATCTAGGGGCATTGAGATTAATAATTTTAAACATGGTTCTCTGGGAGTTTTATAAACCTTAGACCTACAAGAAAACCCAACTAAGAATCTTAGCCTCTTTTCAAACACTAGGGGAAAAAATTTTTTAGAAATTGGCTGATTCGAAGATGCATATTAGCTAGTAAGTTACATAAATAAGTAAGTAAATCAGGATGTGCTCTCTCAGCACACACATACTTTTTTAAGGACACTTTGGACTCAAGAAGAACATGCATAGACAGAAAAATGCACATAGCACAAGGATACCAGTGAATGAATCTCCACAAAGACAACACACCCAGGTACCAGCACCCAGATCAGGAAATTGAATATGAACATCCCCGAAGCCACACTCCAGCCTCTTCCCAAGGATAAGAATTACCATCCCAACTTGGAACACCCTAGATGAACTTTGCCCACTCTTGCTCTTTATATAAATGGAATCATAGATCTTTCATTAAACATTATGCTTGAGATAAAAACAATTGTGCCTTTACTTTCGTGGGGGAACATATCAGGGTATTTGTCTGTTGATGATGGAGGTCCTATTTAAATTAACATTGGAGTTTTTCCAGTTTGGGGCCATTATTTGTAGTGTTTTGGTAGGAAATCAAACTACATACACAATGATAAATAGGAACCAATGGTAGCCTCAGAGGCACTGTAAGGACTGGCAGAGAATGTGGTGAACTGGATTCTGCTTGTCGCATCTGACACAGAAAACCTGTCCTAAGATCTACTCCTTTTCTATAGATATGGAAATGATCCAATATGGACATAGTATTGCCAGATTGGTTAATAAAAATATATGTTTTAAAAAGCTTGCAATCCAAATTTTTCTGTAAAATCTCCTAATTTTTGATGTTGGATTAATTTTTTTTTTTAAGCTAGAGGACCAATCAGGATGCCGCAGCTGGCAGCCTCGGATGTAGATATCCATGATAGAAGACTAGCTTGCTGGGCTTTAGACTTTGCATGGGGCACATCCCAGGTGACCTTGTCAACAACCAAAATTTATCCTGATCAAATAAGCCAGGCACGAGGCGAAAGCATGCAGAAAGCTGCCCCCTCTGCAGTGTTGGAGAGAATCTTCGTGGGCACAACTGAGCTGGAAAGGACCTCCTTTGCTTTCAAGGCAATAGCCCCGAGGGTCCTGAAGGAGAGATAGATCTAGGGGCTGCCCGTCCTGCAGGATGCCCCTTCCCTCCCTGCTGCTCTTCTCCTTAGAGGTTGTGCTATTTTTTTCCCCCTGGTAATGACTTTGTGACCTTTCTGTAGACTCTTAATTTTCTTATAGAAATTACAACCAGAGGTTGAAAATTTGGGGATGGGGATCAAATATTCCATTATCATATCCCCTGGGGAGAGACAGTTTTACAATCACACATGTGTGAGGAGACTAGTAGATAAAGCACGACCTTCATTCCATAAACCAAAAGCTAAAAATGCTCTATTCATTTTTCTTTCTTCCTAAAATGAAACACATCATTTCTGGCCTTGACAAGAGCTCAGACTATTTCATACTGGCTTTTGATATCACATTTTTGGTTTGGTGGCAGTGGTGGATGGTAATGGTTGTAACGGAAGGAGGTCAGGTCATTTTCCAAAGTTCTAAGTAAGTGATGTCCCAATAAGGCCAAAGTGGGAAGATTAAAGACTAACAGTAAGGTTATCATAAGGCCAAGTTATATAAGTTAGACTCATTTTTCCCTAAGGTAACAGTTCTCAAATCTCTAACAAATGTAAGAATCCCCCAGGAGAGCATGCTAAACATGCTAAAACACAGACTTCCAGCCCCACCCCAGAGTTTCCAGTTCAAGAGGTGGGGGAAGAGTGGAATTTGCCTTCTTTTTTTTTTTTTTATTTAATTTGCAACATATAGTATAACATTCAGGGCTCTCAGTTATCCCATCCCCCCACTAACTTCCCCTTTGACAACTCTGTTTGTTTCCCAGATTTAAGAGTCTCTCATGGTTTATCTTCCTCTCTAATTTTCCTCCATTCCCACCTTCTCTTACAGTTCCATGCACTGTTTCTTATATTCCACATATGAGTGAAACCATGTGATAATTGTCTTTCTCCGACTGACTTATTTCACTCAGCATAATACCCTCCAGTTCCATCTACTTCAATGTAAATGGTAGGTATTCATCCTTTCTGATGGCTGAGGAATATTCTAGTGTGGATAGTGATAGATAGATAGATAGATAGATAGATAGATAGATAGATAGATAGATGATAGATAGATGATAGATAGATAGATAGTAGATAGATGATAGATCATATCTTCTTTATCCACTCACCTATCAAAGGACATCTGTGCTCCTTCCACAGTTTGGCTATCATGGAACATTGGGGTGCAGGTGCCCCTTGGTTTCACTACATCTGTATCTTTGGGGTAAATACCTAGTAGTGCAATTGCTGGGTCATAGGGTAGTTCTAGTTCTAGATTTTTGAGGAACCCCCTCCACACTGTTTTCCAGAGTGGCTGCACCAGCTTGCATTCCACTATCAGTGTAAGAGGATTCCCTTTTTTCTGCATCCTCACCAACATTTGTTGTTTCCTGTCTTGTTAATTTTAGTCATTCTCACTGGGGTAAAGTGGCATCTCATTGTGGTTTTGATTTCTATTTCCCTGATGACAAGTGAGTGATATGTAGTATTATTTCATGTGCCCGTTGGCCATGTGTATGTCTTCTTTGGAGAAATGTCTGTTCATGTCTTTTGCCCGTTTCATGGCCAGATTGTTTTTTGCCAATGACATATCAGATAAAGAGCTACTATCCAAGATCTATAAAGAACTTAACAAACTAAACATCCCCCAAAAAAATTCAGAGGATTTGCCTTTCAAACAAGTTCCTAAGTGATGCTGATGCTACTGATCCAGGGACCTCGCTATGAGAACCACTGATCTACAGAAACCTCCACAAAAGTATCTGTAAAGAGTCTAAGCAATTTAAACTTCTGTAAATTAGATGATTAGAGTTTGTTTGAATTTGTTTTTATAAAGATTCTGCAGAAATATGTTTAGTATTGCATACATTCTTAGGTACCGTTCAAATGAGAATGCTGGTAGCTACAAATGTTTTTCCATTCCCACTTTAATTATTTGAAAATTAATGCACACAAATTTGTTTCCAAGTATAATGATCATTTCCTCTATTATTCAATGCTTATCAAAACAGCCCATTCATTAAACAGATCCACATAAACTACTTTAAGATGTGAGCAAAGTCAGGTTGAAAGGACTAATTCTCACAACTTTAGAACAGAACAGAACTGGATCACAGAATAATTGCTGATTATTATTGAACACCTGAAGGTAAGTAAAAAGCTACATTTGCATCACTTCCAAATCATCCATTGTTCAACAAAAACAAATCATTTTTCTTAGGCAGTCTTTGATTCCAAACTTTCTTCCTTTTAGGCTTTTTCAGAAACAACTAGAAAAGTCTCTAAGGAGGGGAGGCGCCAGTTCCTTGTTTCAACTGGCCTCAAATTCACCTGTACTTGGCTGGGAAAGTCCACTGTTAACAGGTGTGGAACCTTCCAAACCTTAGCCTGGCAGCTCACTCTGAATCTGCTGACTCCCTGGTCAGGACCCACCTGGATAATGCAGACCAGCCCCCCCCCCCCCCCCCCGCCGCCCCCTAGTCTTAAACGTAACATTCTGGGGCTGGTTGTGTTTCCCTCTCACACTTTCCACTTGCTTTAGATCCTGTTGCTACCAGCTTCTCTTGGTTCTATCTTGCTGGCCTCTCCAGGTCTGAGAAGCATGGTGAAACATTAATACGTGTGATTTTAATTTCAAAGACCCTGAGATTGCTTTCCCAACAGTGAGTGGTGCTTGCTCAGGAGGTCAAAGGCTGGTCAATCTTCTTTTTAAGGATCATTTACTGAGTTTGTCTCTTAAAGAACACAAAGGAGAAGTTTGTCCTACCTTTTCTGTTAACTTTTGATTCCTTACGAGCTCCATGGGAGTAATCTAAAGTTTAGGGAGGGCTGCCCCAGAACCTGGGTGTTATCCACTTAATGCCTGCAACTACCCAGCGAGTGAGAGAGGAACTCTGATGCCCTTCCATAAATGCAGCCTAGCAGCTGCCAGAAAACAATAACTTATCCTAGGTCACAGGCTAGCTGGTGGTGAGGTGGGGAGAGCCAACAGGTAGGTTACTCCCAAGGCTATGCTCTCCCTTCTCCTCAAACTGTCTCCCAGAGACCTGCTGTATTTAAAGTGTCTCTGATTCTGCGGTGAGTCGTGCCAGCAATTACTACTGCTTTAGTTCCAGTATTTGTAACGCTGGCCAATCAATAATATTAATAACCCTTAAGTCATATCAGACATCAGGACCTCCTACCAGCCACTATGACTGGAAAGGAGGTCAAGACAGTGCCCTAACTCTTCAAAGGAGGAGAAAGAAGTCACAAGAACCAGGAGAAACCCAAGTACTAAGGATTCTGATAGAATTTTCTCCAAGTATCTATGGAATCATACCAAATTCTTTTAATAGAGTTGCTGCTTAAAACTTGGACTAGGTTATCAAGGAGAAAAAAAATTAAATTTCCTGGACGTGTATGTGTGTGAAAGTACCTGCAACTCTAGTCCTCAACTCAGGCCTTTATCTCTTGGGAGAATGAGGAACTGGCCCCTCCAATGCAGGACCTAGTAAAAGACCTTATATCTCTGTTTTCATCAAAGGTCAGAATGGGTCTCTTCATTCTCCTCCAACAAAGCTGGTGTCAGCCTTTAAAGAAGCAGCCAGAAATTATCAACCTAAAACCAAAATCAGTTCAGGCCCACCTTAACTAAAATGTAAGTTTCTTAGCTCTTCTCTTGCCTCCAAAATCAGGATACATCATACATATTTGTTCTACATGTGAAGTTTTGTAGCCACTCAGCTCAAAATATTAAAGCTACCCAATATTAAGAATTGTCAATTGCTTTTGTTAGTAAGAGTTGAATTGATTTTAATTCATATCTAAGTAGCTCCTTGAGCAACTCTCCAGTTTAAAATCTGGTATCTGTTAGTTTCATTTGATCTTAAACCAGGTGAGAACCTGGGAGCAAATATAAGAGAATACGGGGTCACAGTATTGTCATGACCATGTCATAACATTGGACTCCTACTCCTTATTGGTGAGAGTAAAACTAAGAGCCTATGAATCCTGTTTATATAGGGTTCCTGGACTTCTATGCCTGAAGCATTCTGGAAGAAACAAAGGTGAGAGTGGCTGCCATAGGCAAGTATCCCAACTATGATGAGAAATAATGAATAAGAATTCGGGAATACATCAGTTGGAGGCCATTTAATGTGGGGTAAAGAATCATATGCTGTAAAAATCTGTAACAGTTATTGTATTCTCCATAAAACTGCAGTAAACATAGTAAAAATCATTGCATGTCAACTAGTACAGTGAGTCATAATCAACATAAGGAGGCCAGGTCATCAAGAAAAGGCTTACTGCTGGGCAGTATTCTCTGTTATCAGGTTGAGGAAGTAAATAATACACTGCAGAAATAGGTCTCCTGAAGGGTTGTCAGCACAATTAAAATCATGTAGCACTAAAGGAGAAATTATTAGCGATCCTTAAAATTTGGCAACCTGAATGTGTTCATTCCCAAAGCATTTCAGATTGCTGAGTCTTGCTCTAGAATTACAGACTGGCTAAAACTATTACTGGGGATCTCAGAATATGAGGTCAACTGCTGATGTTTGCATCTGTAAACAAGCCAAACACAGTCTGAAACCATTTTCCACATTGCCCACGGCAAGGGAAGATGGTTATTACAACTAATCCACATCCCCACACCAGGTCTGTAAATAATTAAGGGTTAACGCTTATGGTAGCAGGATGGGTAAGGATCAATGCTATTCTACACACAACTACTTTCTTCATACGGGAAACTCCAAAATCATGGAGTCACCATAAGTCACTGCCATGTGGCCACAGATCAAGTTGTCAAATGGTAGAATCAGCTTACCTTGAGCATGAAAAGAGCTTAATTGAGAGGTAATTCTGCATTGGTGAATCCTAGAAAACACTTCTAATCATGAGAAGTGGGGCATGTGGGTGACATTGGATTTTTCTTTTCAAATTTGCAAGTTATTTTTTCAAAACACGAGGATGGATAAAATCTAGAATGCCTTTTGCAAAATACTTAGTAGCGGTATCTCTGAAAACATGTCTCATTCTGTAATTTAAACCTTGAGGGAAGGGGCTTTGTTCTTCTTCTTTTTATATCCTTATATTGCTGGAATACACCAAAGTACTATAGGAAGGAAGGAAGGAAGGAAGGAAGGAAGGAAGGAAGGAAGGAAGGAAGGAAGGAAGGAAGGAAGGAAGGAAGGAAGGAAGGAGAAAGAAGAAAGAAAGAAAGAAAGAAAGAAAGAAAGAAAGAAAGAAAGAAAGAAAGAAAGAAAGAAAGAAAGAAAATGTTAATGTATATTTAATTGTCTTAAAATGGAATAATCAAAAGGGGATGAGCTTTGTGCCTTCCAAAAAGTATTGTAGGTCACTAAGGGTTTTTTTTGTTTGTTTTATAAAGATTTATTTATTTGAGAGAGAAAGAGCACACATGAGCAGCAGGAGGGACAGAGAGAGAAGGCAGAGAGAGAATCCCAAGCAGACTCTCCAGGGAGCCCAGTCTGGGGCTCAATCCCATGACCCTGAGATCATGACCTGAGCTGAAACCAAGATTTGGACACTTAACCAACTGAGCTACCCAAGTGCCCCCTTACTAAGATTTTTAAAACATTTTTTGTTTCAACCTGGAAGGTATAATAAGTAAATAGTAAACAAACTTCAACATGCAAACTATTCAGCTGGGAAGGCTGAAATCACTTATGTTAATTATTCTCAAAGCATAAAGGACACTAATGACAACCTATCTCCTGTACAAATTAGAGGTTTTCATGTGAAATTTCAGATGCCTTTTTTTTTCTTCACACTGGTCTCCCTCATTTGCAACAGACTGCACACTCTGCTCTTGCTCACTAAAGATACAACAACCTGCCTGTAACTATCCTCTGGGAAAGGACAAAGACATACCAGAGGAAAAAGAGCACTTGGATTCAGAAAGTGAACAACCCCAGTATGGTCCAGAGAAGAGTAAGTCCAGCAATGTCCCCTGGAAGCGTCCAGTAATGGGGCCTCTTCTCTGCATAGGGAAGATGGAGCCATCCGGCCCAGAGGTACAGACCTAAGGTTGTCCCCCTGAGAAGTCTGTCAAAGCAGCACTGTGAGAACCAGAGGAACCTTCTCCACTTTGATCAACAAGCCCCGGGCTGCATCTTTACCTCTCTCACTTTGGGGAGATGAAGGGCCAATGGTCTTGGGACTTCACACTTGCTGTCTCAGCAAAAGACCTTGGATATGCCCACCAGGAAGGAGCCTAGAAGCAAAGGAGCCTGTAGGCTCTCTATGTTACCTCTCCAAGAGCCCACCTGGAAGCCCAAAGAATTCTTCACACTCCCTATTGCGTTTGAGACTCCAATCAAGATGGCCTCTGACCCCAAAAGGGCCCTCAACACAACTGACTGATTTGGACCCCTTCTTGAGCTTCAAGCCCATCACTGAGCAGACTCTTTTCCAGGCCTCTCTTCCAGAGAAAGGAGGCCACTGACCACCCACCCCTGCCACGCAGCCCCCACCCCCCCAACCCCCCGGTCCTCAGGGAACACAGCTCCGAGGCTCCTGTGCTCATTCTGTGTACCACAGAGCAAGATCCATCTCTGGGTTCCCATATTACCCCTCAGGCCAGGGAGTCCTATGATGGGAGATGGCACAGGAAGTCACTGCCGAGGGGATGCATACTTTTCAGGACACGTTGGCTCCCAAGTAAAAGGGTACAGTAGTTTGCAGAAGAAGGAGAATGGAAGCCTACCTCACTTTCTTCTAGAGAAGGTCAGGTTAGCGACAGTCTGTCAGGCACTGGGTAGCAAAGGTGGCCGTCGTGCAAATCCATGCCATTTGAAGACAACCTAGTTTAAAGGCAGAGAAAGAACAAATTGTTCAAATTTCTAATCATCTCTCCCTCCCCACCAAAAAAGAAAATATCTAAAGCATTTTAGCTAGGATGCTTAATTGCTCTCCTTTCCAGATGTCTGCTTTGGAATTTTGGGCAGACTTGAGCAAAACTAACCCGTGTGTTTTTAAATTTTATTTCCAGGAGAAGAATTGTATACATGCACGTGTGTATGTCTTTATTTGCTCTGGTGCCATGAAAACTGCTCACTGTTTACTTTTCCATCTCTGTTTCTGTCCTGACATAGCAGACCTGATGGCATATCAATCAAGGCACTTTGTTTTACAGCCCTCGAGTCACTTAACATTTATGGCTCAGAAAGTCTTAATTTCAAGAGTCTCCTTGAAGAGCAGAGCATTTCACTGTGGCTTTTTGGGGCAAAGTATGACAGCCACATGCAGTCATGATTTTCATTTTGAATTGCCAATGACTTGGCCCTGTGGCTTAATTAACATCCACTTAGTAATTGGTTTTGTTAGGTCAAGAAAATATAAAGTCCGGAAACATTCAACAGAGTTTCAAAGAGAACTTCAGAGGACAAGGATAAAAAGAACAAGACGTGCTGTTTCAATCTAGGCCAACCTTTTAAAAGGCCTCTCCTGACACCCAGGCCTTTAGTTAGGAAGCAGGTAGATTGTGTCACTTCAGAAACCAGCCCTGACACTTGATGGGATGAGCACTGGGTGTTATACTACATGTTGGCAAACTGAATTTAAATAAAAAAGGAAGAACAGAACAGAGAAGAAAAGAAAAGAAAGAAAAAAGAAAAGAAAAGAAGAAAAGAAAAGAAAGAAAAGAAAGAAAAGAAAAGAGAAAAAAGAAACAAAATGAAACGAAACAAAACCAGCCTGAATTTTCAGCATGGTCCTCAGTTTATAGCAGTGGATTTGCCGTCCCTCCCAGGGATGAAGAACCTCTGTGGCAGCAAGGAAAAGATCCATGCTCAATTTCATCCACCCTACTCGCAAGATGGGTAGGAAAGCCCTAATTTCATTTGGAAAATCACAGAGAAAATCTCAGGAAGTAGCCATTGTTTTATTACCAGACCTCAATCCTCAAGCACAAGTTTGCTGTTCATAGTAGGAAGAATGAGACCCATCTACGGGTCTTTGTGGACTTTAACCCCCATTGACCTAAACACATAAACAAAGGCTGAGGACATTTACCAAGCCGCAGGAAAATGCAGATTACTATGGTAGTGTATCAGTTCGCTGTCGCTACTTGACAAACTACCCCAAACCTCAGTGGCTTAAAACAACAACCAGCTATTGTTTTATATATGTGTGTCTACTGGGTGCGAGTTGATGGAGGCTGGTCTCAGCTGGATAGTTCCACTCATCATGTTCCTCAACTTTTTCATGGAAACAAAGAGCTACCCTGGGCATGTTCTTATTATGGTGAAGGAAGAGGTACATGAGGACAAGGAAGCCAGGAAGGCCTCTTGCAATACTGGGGTCAGTACTGCACCTTATTCTATTGGCCAAAGCAAATCACATGAATTAACCCAGGGACAGGAAGTTATGTGTCACCAACAGGGGGAGAGCACAGACGTGTTACTTGGCAAAGGGTGCAGATACAAAAGTTGATGAAGAATGGAATCATTAATACAAATCTACACGTGAAGACCAGAGTAAAGCTCAAAAATGATACCTAATTCAGACATGTCCAAAAAAGGAAAAAAGAGTAGCCTCAGAGAAAGATGGGGATGTTGGTTAGAGTCGATGGTGCAAAAATCTAACAGGATATTCAAGGTATTTTGTTCCTTAGCCTGAGAGCAGTTTGAAACCACTGAATGGATGGATATGATCAGATGGATACAGGATGGGCATGACATTTAGGTGAGAGCGGACTCCAGCAGAACAATTAGAACGGCTAGATACGAGAAGTTAGTAGGTTAGGCTCTGGTGAACACACTGGAGTTAGAAAAAGTATTCAGCCGAGGAGGTATTTAGGAGATAGAATCACCTAGACTTTGTGAATAGTAGACCATTAGGGGTGAGAGGAAGGAAGGTGTTGAAAATGACTGACCTCCAAGCTTCTGGGTGGCTTCACTGGGTAGCAAATAGTTCTGTTCACTGATCTAGGTGACTTTGTGTGGGAGGGTGAGGGAGGGAAGGAAGGGTAGGTGGGGTCTAGGTCTTGACTTCAAGTTTGGGCATGTTGAATTTAAGGACCTATGGATCATCAGAACGGAGATTTTGAGGGTGTAGTTGATGAGAGAAGCCATCAGGGATGGGGATACATACCTGAGAGTTTTTAATAAGGCGATGCTTTCTAGAGCAGGTGAAGTCTGTGTCCAGCTCTGATTATAGGATGGAGTTAGCAGACATACAGCTTAACTGATGGGATGCGTCAGGCCATTCTACAGAAGATGGCATGCAGGTAATTGTTTCTGACCGGCAGGATCTTTGCACGACTATAACAGAACTAGTCTTGGTAAATTCAAAGGCACAACTTGGTCCAAGGGCTTGAGGCTTTAAAAACACTCTGTGCAGTCCAGTATCATAATCACATATTACCAAATAGTAGAACATTACCAAAAACAGGGAGTTAGACGGGAGGTAACCTGGACATCTTGGGTGTCCAGGGATGACCCCGAATTAGTCAATATTGTTTCTCCAGGACGTACTGCAATACTTGGCGTGTGACAAGCAATGTTTGTGAATGAATACATGAAGGCCTGAGTAACTACAATCTGTGAATTAGCATGTTCGATAAACATTTATATATTATCACTAAAAAGCAGCAGTTTTTCATCAGTCATAGACTACTCACTCTATACTTTTATAATTCATGAATTTTTGGTAACCAGCTAAGCATCTGTGGCACAAAGATCCTGTCTACCTGCATTTTTTTTTTTTTTTAGTTTCAGAGGTAGAATTTAGTGATTCATCAGTTGCAAATAACACCCAGTGTTCATCACATCATAACATCAAGTGCCCTCCTTAATGACTATGACCCCCCCCCCCCAGCAACCCTCGGTCTGTTTCCTAGAGTTCAGCATCTGTTACAGTTTGCCTCCCTCTCTGTCTTCATCTCACCTTATTTTCCCCTGCCTTCCCCTATGTTCATCTGCCTTGTTTCTTAAATTCCACATGTGAGTGAGATCATGTGGTATTTGTCTTTCTCTGACTGACTTACCTCACTTAGCATAATACCCTCTAGTTCCATCCACATCATTGCAAATGGCAAGGTTTCATTCTTTCTGATGGCCGAGTAGTATTCCATTGTATGTATAGACCACATCTTCTTTATCCACTCATCTGTTGATGGACATCTGGGCTCTTCCACAATTTGGATACTGTGGACGTTGCTGCTAAGAGCACTGGCAGGTGCCCCTTCAGATCACTATGTTTGTATCCCTTGGGCAAATACCCAGTAGTGTAATCCTTGGGTCCCAGGGTAGCTCTATTTTTAATTTTCTGAGGAACCTCTATATTGTTTTCCAGAGTGGCTGCACCAGCTTGCATTCCCACCAGCAGCATAAGCAGGTTCCCCCTTCTCCACATCCTTGCCAACATCTGTTGTTTCCTGACTTGTTAATTTTAGCCATTCTGACTGGTGTGAGGTGGGATCTCATAGTGGTTTTGATTTCAATTTCCCTGATGCCGAGGGATGTGCAGCATTTTTTCATGTGTCTGTTGGCCATGTGTAGGTCTTCTTTGGAGAAATGTCTGTTCGTGTCTTCTGCCCATTTCTTGATTCGATTATATATGCTTTGGGTGTTGAGTTGATAAGTTGTTTATAGATTTTGGATACTAGCCCTTTGTCTGATCAAACATTTGCAAATATCTTCTCCTGTTCCTTAGGTTGCCTTTTAGTTTTGTTGACTGTCTGCTTGATCTCTTTCTGTGCCCTCCCTCTCTTCTTCATGCACTGCAGACTTTTCAGCAGCTGTTTGCTCAAAGGGCAACTCCCTTCCAGTGGCTCCACACCAGGCTGTGCAGTCATCTAACATAAGGAGTGGGCTCCACAGGAGACCCTGCTGTCCATCCAGGAGATGGGACCCTCACCTTAAAAAAATGTATTTAAACTTAATTTAAATCTTACACTTATTTAATACAAGCCTTTAATATGTCTATTAAATGGTTTAAGCCAGGAGCTGGCCAATGAGGCCCTGTGGACATCCATCTGCTTTTGTAAGTAGTTTCGTTGGAAAGCAGCCACAACCCTTTCATTTGAATACTGGCCTTGGGGGCTCTGACATCACTGTGGTAGAACTGCATCACAGTCACTACAGACCGTAGGACCCACAAAGCTTCAAATATTAACTAGCTGGGGCAACCCGGGTGGCTCAGTGGTTTAGCACCACCTTCGGCCCAGGGCATGATCTTGGAGACCTGGGATCTAGTCCCACGTCGGGCTTCTGCATGGAGCCTGCTTCTCCCTCTGCCTGTGTCTCTGCCTCTCTCTCTCTCTCTCTCTCTCTCTTCTCTCTCTCTCTTTCTGTGTATGTGTGTGTGTCTCTCATGAATAAATAAATAAAACCTTTAAAGGAAAAAAAATATTAACTAGCTGGTAGTAGACAGAAAAAGTTTGCTGACCCCCTAGTATATCAGAGAAGTGCTTGCCTCTGTGCCTACCGATCAGTCACAGTAAACCTTTTCTGCCTTGTGGAATAGACTCAAGTCCTTTTGCAAAAATACTGATTCTTCTTTTATTGTGGTGTTTTAACACGTGGCCT